AGGCTGGAGTCTCCGTTCCAAGGTAGGGAAACTGAGGCATGACCCTGGCCAGGGCACAAAAGAAGCAGAAAGTCTCAGCATAGGCCGGCTCCTATGCACCTGGGGATCAGGTGACGCTTCTGGACGGCCCCTTCAGAGTCATTAGACAAGTGACTGAAGTTACCTCTGTGCTGGAACTGTCCAAGCAGCACACGGCCGCCAGCTGCTGTGTCAATGTGATGACCCCGCACCGGGCCAGGGCGCGGTTGGTGCTGGTTGTGTGTGGGCTGGGGCTGACACCTCGCTGGAATCAATTCCCAGCTCCCACACAGCAGACAGATGCTGCATTCGTTTCAGCAGCTGGGCTGTCCGACTGTAGGCATTCTGGGGACCGGGTGTTGCTACCCCCAAGCGCCTGTGCTCCAGAGCTGGGGCAGCTTGCCACCCCACCTCTGGGGGGTGGAGCCTGGGCAGAAAGGGCCAGGTTGGGGGCTTGCTTCCCCCAGCCCTACCTTCATCCACAGCCCATGAGATGGGGGAGGGAGAGAGAGAGAGAGAGAGAGAGATATGGGGGAGCTACACTAGGGAGTAATCTAACATGGAGCCAGGCCCAGGCCCTCACCGCACCACACTGGACCGCTGGAGTCTGAGCTAAATGTAGCCTGTGACCCCACCCCTGGTGATTGGCACATGGGACTGACAGGGGCCCGGCTTTTCTTCTTACATTCTGGCTGGCAACACTTGTATTGCTTTGTCTTGGCCCCAAAGAGTCACTGAATGGATTTGTATCTGGAACGCACAGATACAGGGTGTGTGTGGTGATAGGTGGATAATATGGAGATCTACCATCTCAGAGAGCTGTAAGGGACCTTGCGAAGTCATTGGCTGCGTCTAGACTGGCATGATTTTGCAGAAATACTTTTAATGGAAAAGTTTTTCTGTTAAAAGTATTTCCACAAAAGCGCGTCTAGATTGGCAAGGGTGCTTGTGCACAAAAAGTGCTTTTGCGCAAAAGCATCCGTGGCCAGTCTAGATGCGATTTTTGCGCAAGAAAGCCCTGATCACCATTTTAGCCATCGGGGCTTTTTTGTGCAAAACGGTTCTTCCGTGTCTACACTGGTCCTCTTGAGCAAGTATTCCTGTGCAGGGGGGGCTTTTTCCCGAGTGGGAGCGTGAAAGTATTCGTGCAAGAAACACTGATTTTGTACATTACAAAGTCAGTGTTCTTGCGCAAATTCAAGCGGCCAGTGTAGACAGCTGGCAAGTTTTTGCGCAAAAGAGGCCACTTTTGCACAAAATGTTGCCAGTCTAGACACACCCATTGAGTCCAGTCCCAAGCTTGCCAGGGCCAAGTACCATCCCTGAGAGATTTGCTTTAGATTCCTAAATTGCCCCCTCAAAGATTGAGCTCACAACCCTGGGTTTAGCAGGCTAATGCTCAAACCACTGAGCTATCCCTCCCGTGATAGAGATAGAGTGTGGGTGGGTGGGTGTGGATGGATGGGATGTACGGGGATAGATAGATAAATAGATACAGGGTGTGTGGGGGGGATATAAAGATAGATAGATAGGGTGGGGGGATAGAGGGTG